TAAAGGACAAACATTGTATGATTCCATTTATATGAGGTACGGAAAACAGGCAAATTGATAAAAAGTGTAATGAACAGAGGTAAAAAGATAGTGTGATAGATGGAGAGTTGTTCAACTGGTACAGAGTTTCTGTTTGGGATGATGAAAAAGTTCTAGAGATAGATAGTGGTGATAATTAACACAACACTGTACATGTATTCAGTGCCACTGAATTATACACTAAAAATGATTAAGCTGCTACATTTTGTGTTGTGTATATTTTACCACAATAAAACAAATTTTCTGAGTTAGCCATAAATGAAATACTAGGATTCTGCTCTGTGTGTGCACCAAGGGACTCAGCCTCCTGCGTTTCGAGCAGCCCATTCATTCTCACTGGGTGGAGAAAACACAGCTGTATTTACTTTTCCAACCCCATCTTCTATTTTGAAATACTACCTTTTTGCAAATGAGAGCCAAGGTCAAGTGACAGAGCTTTCTGCTCACCTCTTCAGTTTTCCAAACACTGTTTTTCTAGTGGAGCTCTGGGTTAGGTGCTGCAAGTGTGGGTAATACTATTACTCACGTGCCCTCTGAGTGGAATTTAATTAGCCTGCCTTCATAATTAGGGATGATGCATTTCCTTTCACTTCCATTTGTATATGAAAATGTACAGTTGTGCATTCATCAACTGTAGTATTTCGAAGTGTTTGGACTATTCCACACACTAAATTCAAATTACAAAGAAAATAAGGCCTTTCTTAAAGAATTCCTTGTTTCCTCAGATTAGAAGGATATTTATATGCAGGGTGAATGTGAGATCCTACTGATAATGGTCTTTTATTTCTGGCTATGAACACGACAATTCTAAATACATACTAAAAATTGTATATTTATGTTTTTTGAATAATGGTGGAAACTTTGACAAATTATAAACTCTTCAGTATAAATTAAGAGTAGCAAAACAGATTAGCTTTTTGTCTTAAAACAATCTTAACATGAAATAATTGTTTTTGTTTTTTATAATATCAAAATGTTTGTTATTAAATATATATGTTATATTTAGGCTATGAATTTGTTAAATGTTCATTTTATCAAAGCACATACCAAAAAACAAAACAAAACAAAAACCAGCATGTAGGTATCACTTAATATTTTTTATTTACTTTTAGTATTTCCTACAAGTAGCCTATGATATTTATTTCCGTTCATTCAGTATCATAAAAGTGGTATCTATTTATCAAATTATATAAAAACACGAGTATAATATATTTATATTTTCTTACCGGCTTTAAAAATAGAAAGCATTTCATTTCCTTTCTTATTGTATATGCAGTTGGTTGATGTACTTTATTGTTTTACAAATGAAAATTAATCATTTGAGTGAAATTAATATTCAGCATGCTGAGGAGATGTGCAAGATCATTTTTCATTGCTTTCTTTTGAAATTATCTGGGAAATATATGATCTTGTTGCACTGAATTCTGAAGAAGTTTAATAGATATTTTAAATAAATAAAGCTATCTAAATGGGAAGTAGACTCTAGTGTGACTAAAATTCGTCAGAACTGTGTTGTACATAATAAGCTTGAAGAATTCATGCACAAAAGCCTAAGCCATTGTGTAACCTTGGCTGTGTTCAGATGCTACAGTCTTCTAAGCTATTGTATATTGTATCTAGCCTGGTAGATTTAACCTAGTAATGAGATGCTTACTTGAACTGTTACTTTAAACTCAGTTTCTGTGGCAGCACAGTCTGTAAATTTTTGGACCTTCATCTTCCAGCCCAGATAACACTTGTCCATAGATAAATTGTTAAACTTAAGCCCTTAAAAAACAACAACCAAACACATAAGCTTTAAAACTATTTACCTTGATGATGGCCTGTACACCAGAGGGACAGCACTGGATTATAACTGAGGAGACCCAGAGTACAAGTCTCTGCCAATTAGTAGTGGTGTGACCTTACACAGTCACTAAACTTTGAGCCTCAGAAGATGAGAATAGAAACAATAGCCTCCCTATCAAATTTAGTGGGTTGTGAGGCTCAAATGAAATAAAGTGTGAAATTACTTCAAAAACAAATGTTGGTTGTTATTTTTCCAAGATTCTGGTTAGAACTTTGCTGATCCCACAGATTTAACTGAATTATAAAATAGATAAAATCAGACCAATAGTTGTTTAATAGAGTATTATTTGACATGTAAGCTTTTAAAGCCAATAGTTTGACATATTTTTATATTTCCAGATTATTTAACATCTGCGTGACTTGTTTTATTTTTATTTTGGTGTGGTTAATATGTCTCTGTTTTGATATGAATGGAGTTTGCTTTGGGTACTGGAAACTGATGGGGTTTTGGTGTCCTAATAAAGGGCATCCCTTTTCTCACCTGCATCCTTATCCAATCTCTCTCTCTCTCTCTCTCTCTCTCTATATATATATATATATGGCTAAGTGACCGACCGACTGGCTGGTACATATGACACGCACTGGCAATTTAAAAATAAACATTGACTGGTGTATGCATGATACATATAAAGCTCTTATGCCAATTGCACGTGTGTTTTAATTGTACACTATATTATATATACTATTTTGACATAATTTTTTGCAGTAACGTAATTACTACACGAATCTTTCTTCTACTTAATTTTCTTTCAATGTGCACGAATCCATGCACTGGGCCACTAGTGGAGAAATAAGACCAAAGGGCCAGCAGACCGAGAACTAAAATGGCTCCCTTCTGACTGATAAGCGCAGGTTGGAGGAGGAGGTTAGTATAGTAGCTGAAATGGACTTCCACAGCCTCCTTAACCCATGTCTAGTCCTGTGAGGAAGGTTTACCTCAACACAGCACACACTGTGTTTACTTCTCTCCCCTGATCCAGGTAGAAAGAGACTTTCTCCAGGCTTTGGGTCCGTGGGTGGTTTAGCTTCCCCTTCTAGAAAGGGGGACCCAGCGCTGTCATCCACCAACCATGTAACTCAGTCTGCCTCCTTGGGGAGGACCAGGGGCGAGGCCAGAAGGCCAGCAAGCTTAGAGAAAAACCCCTCCATGGAAATCAGAGAAGAGGCCGAACAGAAATTAAACCATCCCCTCTCCTACCCTCTTTTTAGCTCTCCTCTCTGAAGCTTTTCTCCCCTAGTCCTGCCACCCTGTTGCTGGCCCTTTCCCCATACTCCTGCCCCCAAACATAAGCTACACTGCAACTCCTTCAGACTGGACTGCACAGTTATGGAGAAATACTGGATCCTGGGAGAGAAGAGTGTGTAAGGCGGGCTGATGTTATAGACTGAATGAGGCCCCACACCCACATTCTTAGGTTGAAATTAATCCCCAATGTGAGGGTACTGGAGGTGGGGGCCTTTTGGAGGTGATTAGGTCATGAGGGTGTAGTCCTCCTAGATGGGATTTGTGTCTTTATAAAAGGCCCCAGAGAGCTCCCTGGCCCCTTCTGCCCTGTGACGTTAAAGCAAAAAGAGAGTCATCTATGTACCAGGAACAGGCCCTCCCCAGACACTGAGTCTGCTGCAACCACTTCTTGAGCTTCTCAGGCTCCAGAACTGAGAAAAGAAGTTTTGTTGTATATAAGCCATCCAGTCTATGGTTGTGTTATTTATTTTTTTAAGTAGTAGCCTGAACAGACTAAGACAGTTGATTAAGGGGAATGTGGAGTACATAAGGTGAACCTCGGGTAAATATATTTCCCCAACAGTTTCGTCAACATTGCTGCAGGACATATTAAATTTCCTTTGGGAGACATATTTGTGATGTTGTTCATTTGGCAAGTCAAGAACAACCCATCTCATTCTTTAGGAAATAGATGTAGCTGGGGTCTCAAACTAGTTTTTAGTTCTGTCTATATTTAATACCATCCACCGATCACCCTGTTGGTAAAATCTTGTTAGGAAAAGAACCAAACAGATGCAGAAATCCAGGGTCAACATAATGACACCTAGCTTATTTTGAATAAATTCAAATATAAAGTTTAGGAAGAAATTTAATTCAGTAATTGGATGACCCTGTATTGATCACCTGCTATGAACCAGGCATTGCTCTGATCGGGAGGGAAATGGAGAAGAAAGCTCGTCTCGGGCTTTGCGCTGCCCATAGTTTCAGGAGGGTGCGAAGAACTCTATTCCAGGATGATACCTGCTGTGAGCTGTGCACAGGCTGTTATGGGAACACATGGACAGGCAGGCAGCCCAGGTTTGAGGAGTTACTTCAGGAAATCTTTCTAAAAGAGTCTTGATGTACATCCTAAAGCACAAGTTTAAGTGGGCGAGAAGAAGAGAGAAAGAAGAGAGATGTCCTAGTTTAGGCAAAAGTAATTGAGTGAGCCTGGCATATTTGGATAGTAGCAAATAGCTTGGTGTGGATAGAGTAAAGAGTTTAGGGAATGGTGATAAAAGAAATTGGAGGGGTAGCAAGGCTAGATCATACCTTTTGTACTATGATAAGGAGTTTGTTCTTTTCTCCAAAGGCACCTAGGAGTTTTAAGCAAGGAAAAGCATGTGTTTTAGATACCACGAGTGACAGGGAGGAAGAAAGTAGTGTAGGGGGAACAAGGCCATATGCAGAAAACTCATGCAACATTCAAGGCAGGAGACTACAGTGGCCTGAAATGAGAGAATAACAGTGGACCTGCAAAGAGACAGATGAAACTTGGGGAGATATCAAGAACATCAAAATCAGCAGGACTCAGTCATTTATTGGATGGAGGAAGAGACATGCCATGGAGAGAATTCAACAATAATTCAGGTTTGTGTGTTGGGCAACCCTGTTGGTTCCCTCCACCAACACAGGAACTACTAGAAGACCATTCAGTAAGTGGGGGTAGTGTTAGGAAGGAGATGAGAAGCAGGTTTAGAACACGTTGAGTTTAAGATTCCTATGGAATATCGAAAAAGAAAATGTATAATAGGAGTTGAATATATGGGCTAGGAGTTCGAGATAGAAATCTGGGTTTGAGATTGGGGGGTGTGCGTGCACACACACATTTATCTACATACTCATTTACCTTTGGGGAGAGCAGGATAGGGCAGTCAGCACCATGGATATGGATAAGCTCATCCTGGTAGGTGTGTTGAGACTAAAGAATAAAGGAACAGAATCGAGGATACCATCACCTCAGAAAGAGGCAAAACTAAGAAGTGGCACAAAAAAAACACACCAAGAAATAAAAACATAGTCACAATTTTTAAGCAGGACAAATAGATCATAAAAGATTAGCACTTCAAAATCTCTGAGTTTAGCAAAAAAAAAAAAGGAAAGAAAGAAAGAAAGTGTTAGTAAGGCGGAGAAAGCAGTGTCGGCAGAGGGGCAGAGACGAAGGCCGACGGCAGCGGGTGAGGAGTGAAGGATAGTGCCCACCGTGGTCTCAGCCTGGCGTGAACAGCAGCACAGAGGTGGTGTGGGAGTCAGTGGGTGTGACGGCAGTGGTGATGCAGACATGGAGGGTTTTCTGTAACTGGGGCACTGATTATATGAAAGATTAGCGGGTTAGGAGATGCCTTCTCACTGATGCACCGTGTGCTTTGAAGAGGTGGGGGACAGGGTGGATGTGAGCACCAAGCGAGGGTCAGATGCGGGGAGGAGGGCACCTTGCCTGTGTGGCGAGGGAAGCACAGATGGGTGCAAATGCAGGTATGTGTTTTGGGTGGGGCAGGTTGAGCAGATCCTCACCTGCTCAAGTAGGAGGCAAGCCCACCTGCTGACAGCAAGGAGAAAGTGGTCACGTAGGGATAGAGAATAGAAGGTGTGAGATATACTCTGAAGAAGAGGGGATGCCTGCTGGGAAAATAGGAGATTTCTGGTCAGCTTAAGGGGAGGGATCAAAAACTTCTATAAACTAAAAAAAAAATTTTTTTTAAAGAAAATCACTGGAATAGCCTTTTGTTTTTTCAAAACTAGCGTAAACAGGACCCCACATTGAACACTGTTTCTTGCTGGTTCCTTTCCTAAAATGCTCTCTTCCCTCTTTCCACCGCTCCCCCACTCTAGTTGGCTGGTACAGATTTTCCGGCTTCAGTCGAGCCACGTTTCCAAGAAAGATGAACAGATTACAGAAGCAAGTGCCAGCCCTACTTCCCCTTCTTCACTTGCATCCATTCAGCTGGAGTTCTGAAAAGAGGAAGTCAGAACTATTTTTTTTTCTTTTTTAAGAAAGACTGGAGAAGCAGGCAGCACAGGGAGGTGGAAATACTGAGGGGAAAAGAAGAGGAAAGGGAACCATCATTGGGAAAAAAAAAACAACAAAAAACCATGAGCCAAAATTTAAAGTGAAATGATGTCCCAGGTCAGAAGTTAAAGGAATAAGGAAACTTTCTACTTGCTAACCTAGCCTCTTAGTTTGCTAATCAAATGTATAGCATCCTGGTATTTGGAGCCCAGGTTACATGGAACACATAGATTTTCCGTGAATTCAGCTTCCTCCCACTAATTTATCTCTACTGGTGGTAAAGTTTTCTGGGCTTTTCTTCATTTCTTTGGCCTAACCCCTCAATTTAAAAATCAAGTCTGGGGTGCCTAGAGTATCTGAGAAACGAGGGGAACAGATTCATTGCCATAACTATCTAGTGAGCACTTGTTATGTATACAAACTACAGTTCTGGGTAGTGAGGATTTGCAGAAAAATCAGAAAGTCTCTAACATTGCAACATAATTTCTCACAAGCGAAAGGAGACTATTTGCTCAGGACTTACGTAGGTGTAAGTCCTCTGGCTTTTCTCAGCTAGCCAGACATTTATTAGGGACCAGCTCCTTAGGAAAAATAAGCCTGAGGACTGCTTTAATTGTGCCATTGCTTATATCACCTTTTCCTCTTGTCCCCTGATGCTTCTGACTCAGATTTGTACCCCAGCCCTCCCCCATCAAGAAGCTGATGTAATGCAAGCAGATACCAGCTGAAGCCAGAATAGAATGGATAGTTATCTGGGGAGATAAAGTGACAGTGTTGCCTGTTCAGGCTGCTGTTCAAAGGAACATGTCTTTTATCTGTAGACATTAGAATTTAAAGGTATAGCTGTTCTTACTACAATGCATTTCCTAAAAATATGCTTGATATAGCTACCATCTTTGCATGTCAATTGAATATGGTGGATGGGTGTTTTATACCTGCTTTTGTGTTCTTTTATTAGGTACTATTACTGTTTTGGTTAGGCTGGTTTCTACATTTTAATGCTTTAAAAATTTGCTTTTATAGGATACTATTTTATCTCTACTTATCTAAGGCATGGGATGCAGGAGAAAAAAGCAGGATGTTATAAAAGATGCCAACTATAGGTGATGTTTGCCAACTATAGGTGATGTTCCTATTAATAAAATGTTCATATGTTAGACAGATATGGCCAAGTAGATGAGGTTTCCAAATTGTTAGTGGGTTTGCAAAGTTGGCGGCCCTTCACAGATTTCATGGTGGTTATTGGGGCTTTTGTGCCAGGAAAAAGGAAATTGTCTGTTCTTAAAACTGCATTTCTTTGCTTTATACACCCAAGGGTGAGGCTCCCAGGGATGCCACGGACCTGCTGCTGTCCCAGGGATGTGACTTCACTAAACTGTTTTATGTGCCCTTTATTCTTAGAATGTGCCTTTTCTAAACTCAGAGAAGATTTCACAGATTCAACCTCATGAATCTTTACAGCCCCTCTGAAGTTATGGGAGGAATAGTGTCTGTAAAGCTCTTTGAATTATTTGAGACATGGATAACAGAATGCGAATAACCAGATAAACTTGGCCAGTCCATTTTGTAACAGGTTAACTGATGAACAAAATTTGATTTTTATACAAACATGAAAACAGTTAATTATAAATTTTGCTTGTTGCAATAATATTGATAAGGAAATTTATTTTCCTTACGATTAAAAAAGAGCCATTCTGACATGGCATACACATATTTAAATCATGTAAGGGCAAACACTCATTTGAAACAGAAGTATTAGAGCTAGATTATATGAAGGAAATTATACTCAGGAACATTATCATAGCAGCATTTTTGTGAGCAGGATTACTCATAAAAATAATTAACATGTTTTATGAATATAATATTTGAAGTAATTTTTAAAAATCTGGCTATTAACCGTAAGGTTAATTGATTCTTTTCTTCTTGCTCTTTTGTGGTTAACATACTCTTTCTTCCTTTTAAAGACCCATTTTGTTATGCAAATAAAAAAATTGGAAGACTTTGTGTCTGAGAGAGAGGGCTGCTTTCTGCAAGGGAGCCAGGCACCTGTCTCAGCACTCAGCCCCCACCTCTGCTCCCACTGGCTGCCAAGCTAGAGACTTGGTGATCAGGGTTACTGGGTGTGGGGTCCTTGAATGTTGACTCACATTCTCTTTGTGACTTGCTCTTGCTTTGCCTGATAATTTCTCCCTTTCCAGCTCTCAGCATGCCAGCAGCAGCTGCATCATGGCACTCACCCTGCTGCCAAGAGGGCAGGCAGGCTCCGTGGAGACTGTAACAGTGCACTCCAGCCAATGTCGGGAGGTGGGTGCTGGGGCAGTGCATGCAGCACAGCTGAGAGCCAGGCCCTTCTAGGAGGCGCTGGGGCGGCACTTTGTCCACGGACTTGTTAAAGTCAGTTTAATTTTTGGAAACTTTTGATTATGGAAGGTTTTCAAACATATACAAAGGCAGAAAAGAACACTGCAGTGTCTGCCCATATACCTTCCTTTTCTCCCTTTAAACAATGACCATAGACTGTCTTGTTTCACTGTCCATGGTGTTACCCTCCCTGAAAACTGGTAGATTCATTTCCAGGGATAAATCTCTATTAAATTACAGTTGCTTTTCTATCCTCCTTCAGTCTAAGATATGTCTCCTTAATGAGTTTCTGTCCTTTCTTCTGTTTTTCTTCTCATTTAAGCCAAGGTATGCTATGTAGAAATGGTCATATTCTCTAATGCTGTTGCCTAAATTCTCAAGGCTTTGTTCATTCAGTCCGCCAACCTCTCCAGAGCTTAGAAGTGTGCAGGTAACATGTCTTAGAGCTTTATAGGTCACTGGGCTTGATTCTCAGTCTTACCACAGACGAGCTGTGTAACCTGGAACAACCTCATTAACCTTTCTGTGCCCCAGTGTCCTCTTGTTTTTCACATGGGACTAATAGTGCACACCCCACAAAGCTATAAAACTTAAATGACGGAATACACTTAAACAGCCTAGATGGACCCTCGCACAAAGTAAGTGTTCAACATATGCTAGTGGCTGTCATCAACATTTTTTGCCCTTCACCACTCACTTTACAGAGTAGAGGACTAAGGCCCAGGTGGATGAAGTGACCCCCTCTGGTCATATGGTTGTTTTATCAAGGAGAACTGGAACAGGAAACCACATCTCAATTCCCCTATTATTCTAGATCAGTGATGGCGAACCTTTTGAGCTTGGCGTGTCAGCATTTTGAAAAACCCTAACTTAACTCCGGTGCTGTGTCACATATAGAAATTTTTTGATATTTGCAACCATAAGAAAACAAAGATTTATATTTTTGATATTTTATATATTTAAATGCCATTTAACAAAAATCAACCAAAAAAATGAATTCGCGTGTCACCTCTGACACACATGTCATAGGTTCGCCATCACTGTTCTAGATACTAGAGGCCTGGTGCACGGATTCATGCACCTCCCTCGGCCTGGCCTGCGCCCTCGAAATCCGGGATCCCTTGGGGGATGTCGATAAGCTGATTTCAGCCCCATCCCCACAGACCAGGCCAAGGGACCCCACGGATTCATGCACCAGGCCTCTAGTATGCATATAAGATCTTTGGTTAATCTGCTCCCACCCTGCCCTCCCCACTTCCCTCTGAGATTCATCAGTATGTTCCATGTTTCCATGCCTATAGTTTCCGCTCCTGCATTGAGTGTCTGCCCCCTGGTGGTCAGTGCGTGTTATAGCTACCGGCTGGTCGCTTAGGCTTAGATGGTCGCTTAGGCTTAGATAGATAGATAGATAGATAGATAGATAGTTTGACATAGCCTTGTCCTCAGTTATGTTCTGGAAGAATGATTTGTAAGAGAAAAGGAAGAAGATTAATAAAGGCATGAACAAATAAGTAAATATTGCTGCTGGGAGTTAAACCTTAGAAGTTGTGTGTTTAGACAGCAGAGTGCTTTAGTGGAGAAGGTGAGGTTTCAGGGATACTTTTGTTTAAGAAGGGAGGTGATTTGGCTAATGAAACTGGAGAATGTTCTGTATACAGGAAGAAGAAGAAAGTTCAAGTATAGGATGAGATTAAGAGACCCAGGGAACATTTGCACCTGAGATTAGAGAGAAGGCAGGATATAACGAAGGTGGTAAGATTATTCAAACCACCAGTGAATGCCAAAAACAAAAGAGATGAGTGGATCCGAGACTGCAAGTGGGAGCTAACATTCGAAAGCTGTAACATGTGGTAAGCAGTGTTCTACTCACGAACATTATTTAATCCTCATAACAGTCCTATGAAATAGGCATTATTATTGATCTCATTATACAGTTAAGGAAACTGAGGCACAAAGAAGTTAAATACCTTGCCCAAGGCCATTTGCAGGAGACCTTGGGTTTACACCCACGCTGTCTGACTGTCGACCCTGTGCTCTTAAACGCTCAGCCATGCTGCTCCAAGGTAACCAAAGCCCTGTGCATACTCAATCTTGACACTATATATGGGGAAGCCCTTTAGAGAGGCTGGAACTGTGGCATCATTACTCACTTAAGTCCCAGTTAGGTTTCAGTAGGCAGGTTCTGTCCACTGCACAATGGCCCTTTCTAATAATTGTCATCACAGAGTGCACTTAATTTTGTTCTGTTTGCGATCCTAAGAAAGCACTCTGTTTTATTTTCACACAAGGTATAAGACCATGGGATAGGGATGTGTTTGGTAACTTCAGATAAATCTTGAGGACCTCTGCTCTGTGTTGGGGGTGCCTATGGGATAGCAATTCCTCCTCTACAGAATCTCCATTACCGTTTCCTTTCTTATGACCTTCTTCTCATTAGCCTATGGACTAATTATTCTCCCAATTTAGAAACCAGAAAATAAGATCAAGAGAAACCTCACTGACGCCACATTCCTTTCCAGCTCATGTCCCACATCTCTTTTCCCATTTTTGGCACAATGTTTTGAAAAAATTGTCTGTTCTCATATTTGTCTACACTTTTCTTTCCGACCATACCCTTTTTTTAAAAAAAAAAAAAGTATTTTTATTGATATCACAGAGAAAGGGAGAGGGAGAGAGAGGTAGAAACATGAATGATGAGAGACAACCATTGATCAGCTGCCTCCTGTACACCCGCAACCCGGGTATGTGATCTGACCTGGAATTGAACCATGACCTCCTGGTTCATAGGTCGATGTGCAACCACTGAACCACTCGGGCTGGGCCTGACCATACCCTTGTAAACATGCACCAAGAAGACTTTCTCTACCAGATCTTCCCCCGCCCCAGTTCCAACTTGCATTATACCTCCTGCCTATTAGCAGCTCCACTTAGATGTCTGGTAGGCACCTAGAATGACCAAAACAGGACTCTTGGTCTTCCTGCTTAGGCCAAAAACTCTGACTTCATCCTGACTCCACTCTGCTCTCATACCCCACATCCTTTTCATCCGTAAATCCTGTTGGCCTTATCCTCAAAGTCTATCCAAAATCCAATGGTTCATCTCGCCTTGATTATCACAACCCTAATCCACACTGCAGTCATCTCTCTTTCCCTGCTACTTCCTTTCCTGGCCGCCAGACCCCACTACCTACTGTCAATACGGCAACCAAAGTGATCCTGTTAAGTCATCAGTCTGAATGTACCTCCTTTGTGACGATACGCTCTTTTTATCCCATGCAACAATATGGACAAATCTCCTATATAGAAGCCAGAAACAAGAGTTCATACTATAGGATTACCTTCATTTAAATACAAAAATAGGTAAACCAATCTATGCTGTTAGAAGTCAGGATGGTGACAGAAAGTGCTGGGGGGGGGGGCGGGGGCTGTCATTTCTGTCCCTTGATCTGGGTGCTCACAGGTGTCTAAGTTGGTTAAAATTAGCAAACGGTAAACTTTTAATGTACCCTTTCTGTATGTACTTTACACTTCCATAAAAAGTTTTTCAAAATTATTTCTTACACAGAAAATCATTCTTCTCTAGACTTAGAGATAAGGAATTTATCAGCATTTTAACCATGATAAGGTAGACCCCATGCAGGCAAAATCTTGTCTGCTTGCATCCAACCAATAAATATTTACTGAGCGCTAGGCACTGGTCTGGGCATTTTGGGATACAGCAGGGAACCCCTTACATTTCTGATGGATTATAATGAGGATAAAGTATATGACATAGAACAAGGTGCTAAGGGCCATGTAGGGTAAAAGAGCAGGGGAGGGATATAGGGAGTGCTGGAGGGGAGAGGAGGGGGCAGGACACAGTGTAAATAAGACGGTCAGGAGAGCCTTGTTGAGAAGGTGGCATTTGGACCAACACTTGGAAGGAGGTGGGAGAAGGGGCCCAATGGATATTTGGCAAAAGAACCTCCTGGGTAGCGGGACTAGAAAGCACAGGCCTGGGGCAGAAGCAGGCTGGGTGCACAGGAGCAACAGCAAGGAGGCAGTGAGGCGCTGGGGCCAGGTCGCCAGGGCCTTGTAGGCCTCTGTAAAGACTCCAGAGTTTTATTCTGTGTGAGACCAGGTGGTGGTGGGAGAGTAAATTTTTGCCTAAACTGGTTTTATTTCGGTTTCAGCCACTTTTAGCGGCAGGTGGTTCATTCTCATTGCTGTAAATATACTTCAATTTATCCATTGTACTATTGATGGAAACTTAGTTTCCACTTTGGGGGCTTGCTTAGAATGCTGCTATGAACACCCTACTGCACGTCTTTTAGTAAACTACTGTATGCATGGTTTATATCTCAATAACTTAAGTAACATGTTAGTTCCTATGAAAGTCAGACAATCAGTCAATAAGCATGACACACATTAGAAGTAAACTCTCAGGTAGGTATTAGAATAAGACAATCGAGTATGCAAGGCAGAGAGTACAAAGACATGTCAACTAGATTGCTGCTCTCAAGGACCCTCAACTCTAGTTGTGGATAAGACATATGCATGTGAAACAGCAACTGGAAAGGACACATATATAGGAAACGCGAAATAATATCCTAGGCAGTTTGCTCCATATCATTCTGAAGTGGGCAAGGTCACTTTGGACTGTGTTGATATATGTTTTCACAGGGAATCTGGCAATTCTGTAGACCCTGAAAGCATACACCACATTTGGCAAAGCAGACAGACTTTGTAGACATTACTGGGCTAGAGAAATAGCAAGAGGGGGTCATGGGTGGTAAGAGTAGGGTTTAGGATCCATTTTAAAGCTAGTAGAGCTCTATGTACAAGTAAAGCAAATAGCTACATTCTGATCTGGGAATACTTACATGTTCCCCCATTTCTCCATTTTGCTACATTCATGCCACATTTACCATTACTGAACCTCCGAGGCCATAGGTCTGAATGATTTGAATATATGTGTATTTTTAGACTGGCACAGAAAACTCATCCATTGTGACTGTGGCAGGCCCCGGGGCGGAAACCAAGGCAGGCCAGCCTCTGGAAAACAGCTCGTTCATGGCCGAGCTTCTGAGCGACGTGCCCTTCACGTTGGCCCCGCACGTGCTGGCCGTGCAGGGCACCATCAGTGACCTTCCAGACCACCTGCTCACCTGTGACATCAGCGAAAACTTATCACGGTTTTGGTATGATTTTACTCTTGAAAATTCAGTGCTCTGTGATTCATAGTTTTTATATTTGTACCTTAACAGCTTTAAAACAAAAGTTTGCCATTGTATTTAACGTGTTTGATGTTCTTTGCCATTTCACTGTCTAAATGCCCTCAGAAAAGCAAGGATCAGAAAGTATGTTCATTGCTCTGTTTTTCAGAATAAAGTACATTTGTATAAAAATTGAGCTTAAGTTCTACTTCCTTTCCGCCAAATAATAAATATAAAAATTAGGTAATCATAGTTTTATGAAAGGAGTAGATTCCTTCAACCAGGCTCTCAAAATATAACACCTCAAGTTGATCTTAGCAGAACTGTGAAAAAGAGCGATGGCATTTTCCTTGGTTACCACAAGTCTAAAGTCTGCCCTGAGAGGGAGTGTGAATGCTCTTCTCTGGTTTAGAGGAAGCTTGAGTTCATATTATTCTCTTTCTTCTTCCAGTGTCTATGAATGAGTTCAGGGGGAAAAAAAAATTGTGCCAGTTAGCTTAATTTCTTCATTCTTGATATAGACACCGATGTGGAAATGGAAATCTTTTCCTAAAAAGCAGGGGGATTTTGCTGATATAAGAATGCTCTGGCTGCTGTTTCTCTGAGTGATGCATTCAGTTTCCTTACACCCATGGCAGTCCTTTGCACCTTGAGTGCGTTCCTGCCTTTGTTTTTGCCTGGATGCTTTTACCGAGTGTGCTCCCTCACCAGCTTCCCCAAGAACTCTCCCTGCTTCTGCCTCAGAGGGCATCGATGCTCCTGCCCACACTGGGTCCCAGTTCAGGAAGAGATCCACATTTCCTTTCAACCTCTCTGCCTCCCAAAGAAAAACATCTCATAATGATACATTATCGCTAACACCCTTAGTTAGAAACTTATTGGCCATAATACAAATGGAAATGCTTTACTGCTAGAAAAACTGAAATCAACTCATTTCTAATTAGAGTATAGGCAAAACACCTAGATATGACTTTTAGCTATTGAATATCCATTATTTATTCCAACTAAAACAGAAAAGAATGGCCATTGGTCAATAAACTGCAAAGGAAGAGGTAAACTGTGATAGAGCGTTTTCTGTGCCATGTAAAATTTTAATCACATTAGTTCTGAATAGTACAATATAATTTATTAATTCTGTGCCAAATATTTAGAATATTTTTCACAAAGATAGAGTGCTATAGCAAAACTGAACACTGTGCATAAAGGTACATAAATTATTCAAATTTTAATGTGTTATGCATGTTTGTTTTTTAATAAATGTGGCATGTTCTTGATAAAAAATGCTATGTTATTTAAAAGATAAAGGAACATTTCTATTGAAAAAAAAATGTGTCATTTACAAATAATGTTACCATATGAGGTAAATGGTTAAATTAGATCTTGACATAGTTTTCTTAAAACATCAGTCTAAGAAATATGACTTATTACTAACACAAATGTGAACATTTTATAGCAGCTTTTGTGAAAGCCCATCCTTTTTAATATCCATGTTAATATATCTTAAAGCTAAATGTAAGCATGCCATCAATTTACTAATATATGTATTAAACTTTGTCTCAAATACTTACACATTTTATTTATATTTATGTCTATCATATTATAAATATGCTTATACATATTTTCATTTGTTAAAAAATTTGTTATATTTGAATAAGTATGAATAAAAATAAACTGATATTTTGATTAATTTCAGATCCAAAAACTGATTTTCTTTGCATTATTCATATCTGAAAGTCATTGATTCTTTAGGAGACAAATATTTAAGTAAATAGTTTGTATACTGCAGAGAAAAGTATGAAGTTTCCTCTTACATGTAAGTCTTAAGGAATAACATTGAAAATGGTAAGATCACTCACTAATTCTGGCAGGACTGAAGGATTTGAAAGAAATCACATGAACATCTCTAGAAAGATCCCATCACACGATTTAATAAACTCAGTGTTAATAACCAATTATTAATAAAAACATGTGGAAATGGCCATTTTAATGTTCTCATCTGTATACAAATCATGTTCTTATTTTAAAACTGGAGGAAAACAGAAGTCAACTCCATCTAACCCAAGAGAAACTTGAAGCCTAGAAAGGTTAAATGACTTAAGTCAACTCATTATTGAGACGCATTTATTTGAATAGTGTTAATAAAGGTATATAACTTGTAAGAAAGCTGTATGCTGTGGTGGGATAGGGTTCAGGCACTTGAGGCAGGCAGTTTATAGTGGCTCCCTCGCTTACAAGCTGTGGGCCCTTGAGTCAGTCTCCTAACTTCTGGTGTCCTTGGTTCCCTTGCCTGTTAAACAGTAATTGTATGCACCTTGCAGGGTTGTGCTTTTAGATGGTGCATGTCAAAGGCCTGGCAGTACAAAGCTGGACACATTATCAGTGTTCAAGGAAAGGGAACTGTTATAATTCTCAGCACTAACCACACATATACCAAGGTCTAATGAAATGCAAAATATGAATTAACTGAACTTTTTAAAGGGTAATATAAAAAATAGCTACCTACATTTATTGCATATCCCTCCCACCCATTATTATTTTCCATATTAAGCACTACCTCATTGTGAAAAATATTCCTAAAATATGTTAGTTGACTCTTCTGCAGTTCCTTCGCTAAGAGTTCCATAGGGAACACTTTTTTTTCTCCTATTATCAAGCATCATGGTTTTTACTTCCTCTTCCCTTTAACAAGTGATCATTATAAAGTACTGTAAGTATGGAATGTACAAGTGATCTTACTGAATCCTATTTTTATCCCTAAAATATATGCAGGAAGTTGCATGTATTTTTCCCCCCAGCTTTTTAGTAATGGCATTTGCATCCTTTCCCAGAAACAGAATTGGAGAGGCAATCCTGACAATTTATTATTCTAGTTAATTAAATTGTGATTTAATGAACTTTTAAAATTATATCATTAAATGTTAATAAAAGCACGTTTCTTGTTAACAAGAAACCCCACATTTTTTTAAACATTCATTGACACCAACACTTCCTTCCTCTTTCTCAAAGTAAAATGATAAATTGAAAACAGTATGAAAAATATCTAAAATTCTGAAAAACCTAATTTTTCATAATTCTAAAGGAAAAATAAGGAGTAGAAAAGAAATAATCTCATCCTTATTCTAAAACAGTGGCCCATCAGATCTTATCCCATTACCTCTCCTGACAACAACTGATCAGTAAATGAATATTGCCCCTTGTAATCTAGCAAAGAATGTGCTACCTTCGAAATTAATGCATCGTCCTATTAATTGTGTCATTAATAACATTCACAGGAAATTTTAGTGTATTGGATAGATGGCGGAAGGATGTAACATCTTTTAAAGCTATTGAGAAATACAGGCTTGTGGACATTATCTTTTGAGTACTGTGTCATATTACTAAGGCCATGACCTAAATATTATTGGGAAATCTAAAACTCTCGGAATTGGTCTGACTCCATTCATATACAGGGTCCTGAAAGGTAAAGTATTCCTATGCATCATGGAAATGACTCTTGATGCCATATGGTTTGGTGCAGTGGTTGGCAAACTGCGGCTCGAGAGCCACATGTGGCTCCAAAATACCAACTTCTGTGCATGGGCCATGAAGTTTCAATCGCACTGTACATGCGCGCCCACACGTGGTATTTTGTGGAAGAGCCACACTCAAGGGGCCAAAGAGCCGCATGTGGCTCGCGAGCCGCAGTTTGCCGACCACTGGTTTGGTGGATAGGTGTGGGTGAAAAAGAAGGATGTATTGATTAAAGCATAGGACTCAGTTAAACTTGATATCTCAATGTTAGTCATCATTTTTTAATTTAAATAAAATTGTAATATTAGAATAATTTTATATTACAGAAAAATTACAAAAATAGTGCAGCATTCTTGAATACCTCTCATCTAGTTTCTCCTATTTGCTACAACTAAGGAACCAACATTGGGACATTACTATTAACTAAAATCCACCCTCGTTCCAATTTCACACTTTTTTCCTAATGTCCTTTTTTTCTTCCAGCATCCTATCTGGTATAATACATTATACTTAGTCATTCTTAGGCTCCTTTTGGCTGTGACAATCTCAGACTTTTATTTGTGTATTATTATTATTATTATTTTTAGTGACTGTGACAATTCATGGACTCTTGTCAGATATTTTGTAGAATATCCCTCAACTGTGATTTATCTAATGTTTTCACATGGTTAGACTATGGTTATGGGTTTTGGGGCAAATATTACAAAGGTGAACTGCCCTTCAATGAGATCGTATCATATCCAAGGTACATGCTGTCAACATGACCTCATTGCTGATGTTAACCTGTATCCAGTGGCCAAGGTAGTGTTTGCCAGGTATCTCCACTGTCCAGTAACTCCGCCCCTCCCCTTTTTATACACTACTCTTTGTTATTCAATCTAAAAGCATAGCCCACAGTTAAGTGGTAGGGAATTATACTCCACATTCTTGAGGGGTTAGTAAACATATAAATTATTTGAAATCCTTCTGTATGAGATATGTCTCTTTTCTCCAATTTAATTATTAGTTTATTTATATTGGGATTCCAAATCTAAAGCATATCTCTTGGTGGTCAAGAGATTTGTTTACATGATTAGAAAGTTAAAGAAAATTTGGAACGATTTACATGGTGCAGATGAATACCATTTGAAATTGGATGTGATAATATCTACACTAATAAAAGAGAAACATGGTAATTAGCGTACGACTGCTACCCTTCCCATTGGCTAATCAGCATATCCTTATGCAAATTAACTGTCAGCCAAGATGGCGGCCGGCAGCCAGGCAGCTGGAAGCGAACCTGAGGCTTGCTTGCTCCAGTGACTGCAGACTCCAATGTTCCCCGCCTGACTTGCCAGCCTCTGAGCTGGCAGTTTGAAACATTCTAACAAATATATAGAAGCTAAACAAAACCCCAGAAACCAGCTTTCAAAAGGCCGGGATCTCAGAGCTGGAGTTATACATTGTTTCGATTATAGAACGCTCAGCAGCGGAAGCCTCAGAGCTAGAGCCAGAGCTAAAGCTGGCCCAGAATAAAAGAAAAAAAAAAAAAAAAAAGGAGCGGCTGGGAGCTTCAGTCAACAACCGCCAGCCTGAAAGCAGCCCTCAGCCCCTCACCCAGACTGGCCAGGCACCCCAGTGGGGACCCCCACCCTGAAGGGTGTGTGACCAGCTGCAAACAGCCATCATCCCCTCATCCAGGC